GGAGTAAGGGACAACAGCAGGACAGGGGGCTGTGGGTTGGGAGTGAGGGACACCAGTAGGGCAGGGGGGCAGGAGGCTGCAGGTCAGGAGTGAGGGGTACCAGTAGGTCAGGGAGGCAGAGGGCTGTGAGTAAAGAAGGGCACCATGTGCTCTGGCTGTGCTGCTTCATCCCTGGCTGGTGGGTGCTCTGGGGGAGCTCACACCCAGAGAGGGTCTGCCTAGCACTTGGGGCCATGATACACTATGGGCATGGCTGGCATGGTGAGATTACCATGGCCAGGCCAGGAGACCGAGGGTTGACCTGGTGGGGTACCTTGGGTGGGCACTGTGCCTCAGTCTCCCTGTCTGCTGCCCTGCCAATGTGCCTGGAGGGGGTCCCGCAGGGAGTCACCAAGCCAGGCCATGGGCAAACATCAGCATCAGATGAACAAATAATCATGGGGCTGCCAATTCACTCACTCCACAGAGAGAACCCAAACGTCTGGGCTCCCAGTTCCCCCTTTCTTAACCCACTGCACCCTGCTCTCCTCCCAGAGCTGGAAACAGAACCCAGGTGTTTGGGCCCCCAGAGCCTCCTGCTCTACCTGTAAATTGCCCACACTTGTCCTGGAGCAGCAGAGAGAACCCAGAAGTCCTGGCTCCCAACTCTCCCCTCCCTTTCCCTGGGCACTGAATCCAACTGCCACCCCCTGCCACGGTCAAGAGAGGGTGTTTGCTTATTTATGCAAAACAGCTCAGACCTGGCTGGACAGATGGACAGACTGAGACAGACAGACACTGCAAGGTCTAAGCTCTAGTGCTCATTGCTCCCTGGCCACACCTCAAGCCCTACTGGTGCCCCTCACTCTTGACCCACAGTGCCCTGCCCCCCTCCCAAGCCCTACTAGTGTCCCTCACTTCCAACCTGCAGCCCCCTGCCCCCCGCCCCCCCCAGCTCTGCTGGTGCCCCTCATTCCTGAACCTGGAGGACAGGGGACCCATCTCCTTCCAGGGTGCTATGGCATGGAAGCTGAGAGGAGGAGAAGGGCTCTGCTGAAGGGAGCCCAGGGGTGGGCCAGGCCTGCTCTGGATGGCTGGGCTGGGGGTCCAGAGTGGGGGGATCACTGGGGGAGGGGCTATACCTGCGTCCACGTCATTGGGCCAACCGCTGGCCTGGCTGCTGCCAGCGGCAGGGGAGGGCCTGGTGCCAGGGTAGAAGACATCATCCACGGGACTCTCCATCTCACTGTCGTCGATCGACTTCGGGCGCTTGGTGGAGCTGGGGAGGGGACACAAGGTCAGAAGGGACTGTGGGCACCAGACAGTGGGGGGTGCTGGCCTGATATGGCCCTTATCCAGGAGTGGGAATGAGGCAGAGGTCGCGGGTTGGTCACTACCCACCCTCCACTCCCCGCCATGGAGCTGTGGTGCACACAACGAGGTTGGCAAGCCTCTGCAGCCAGGTCCTGGCTGGCACTGGCAGGGACAGGTCAGCAGCTGGACCCCCCCCCATGGGTGAGGGGCATGGGGGTACAGGGAGCTGGCGGTACCTGGTGGAGGGTGGCGAGGTGATGGAGCGCCGACCCAGGGTCACCTGGTTGATATTGTAGTAGCTGGGGCTCTCCAGATCCGCCAGTGAGAAGTTAGGGCCCGAGGCCGTGGCCACGGGCGCTGGAGGAGGACAGAGCAGTGAGGGGCATGTGGGCACTGCCAGTCCCCACCGCATGGCCCTGCCCTCTCCTGAGCAATGTGCGCAAGCTCTCTCACGAAGCAGTCCTGGAAGGTCAGGTGCCCTGGGGGGGGGCAGATGGACAGACAGATGGACACAGGTCAGAGGGCAGATACCTGCCCCAGCTCCCCCCTCCTCCTCCCCACTGCCAGGGACTGTGGGTACCTGGGGGGTTTCTCATGGCTGGATGTGGGGATGGGGGGGCAGGCGGGCAGGGGGGCAGGTTTCTCACCGTTGGGCAGTGGTTTGATGTCCGCATCTCCTTGCTGGTTTGAAGTGTCTGATTGTCCGGATTCTGGAACACAAGCAGAGGTGGCGGTGTCAGGGGGCCACATCACCAGCACCTCCTGAGCCCTGAAGCCTCCAGCTCCGCCCCAAACCCTGGCCCCTGCTTCTGCCGCACGGCCCAGCCAGGGAGGGCTGAACCCAGGAGTCCAGGTGGGGTGGGGCTGGCAAGGCCGGGCTTGGTCTGTTGTGGCTTGTGCCTGGGGCACATGTGTGGAATGACAGGGCCCTAATCCTGGCTAGGGGCGGCCGCAGGCGTGGGGTGTGGGGAGAGAGAGGGCTCCTACATGACCTCTGTGCGTTCTGAGGTAGGGCCTGGACACTGTGTCATGGGTGCTGGGGGGCAGATACCCCCAACACTGGGCAGGAGGCACCAGAGCCACAGGCCCCATGGGGCCCAGTCAAGCCTGGGAGACATGAGGAGGCCTTAGCCTACTCATGCCAAGTGGACAAGTGCCGGCCTGGGCAAAGAGGGTGTCACTAGTGTGGGGGAAACTGGAGGGGCTGGCAGCTCCCCTCCCAGCCCTGGGCTCCCCTCAGGGCGAGCCCCAGCCCTGCGGCGCCGAGCTGCAATGGCTGGCAGCCATCTTAGGTCTTGGCAGCCATCTTAGTGCTGGCG